ACTGAAGCCAGGTGACCACCAATGGTAGTTCTGGGGGGAAACACTGAGCAGGAGGAAGGCTGCTGTGGGTGAAACCCAAGCATGCAGTAAGAAGGAATAATCTCAGTAAACAACAAAAATACCCAGTGCCCACTTAGAGCAGAACAGCAGAGGAACATCTAGAGAATAGCCAGACTCCTAGACATAGTTCAGTTAGGACCTGTTTAATTATAGGAGTGTGGAAAAGTGTTGCTAACAATATTAGATCGCCGAGTATTTTCGTTTGTGAAGGTATTAATTTGTTCTGGAATAGCACATTTCCACCTCTGTGGCCCAGAGCCATTTGGGCAGCACCAGTGTGATTGAAGGATAAGAAAGGAGCTACATTTGCAGAGCACTGAGCCAAGTTTACTGATGGCACTGCAGAGCTGCATGGTGAAACAGCAGCATCCAAGAGTTGCAAGTTTTCACTATTCCCGAGTATCCTGAAGGTCTGCCTTCCTGCTGAGGGAACCTGCTGCCTGCAGGAGGCCAGGTGAGGATTTACTCTGGGTGTCCTGGGCAGAAACCATGCCCTGTGCAGGAGGGAGGCTGCCATGGGGAGACATGGTCAGTACCAACAGCTCTGGAAGCAAATCATCTCCTTACTGGCCCACTACCTCCCATCCAGCTCCTGGTAATTACCTAAAAGGACCTTACAATAAATTTTTACAAAGATATTTAAGTAAACAGGAACATTGAAAAAAATTCTTCTTCTATTAAAATATTCTGAAGAAAGCAAAATAGTCTTATATACATTACAAATTTGATAAATTAAATCTCTGGTTCTGTTGGAAAGACCTACTGGAAAATGCAAGGTTACTCTTTGTGAGGTGCCCCACAAGTCAGGAGTTTTAAGGGAGGACAGAAGCAATGGGATATGCACTATGACTGCAACATTCACCTCTGCTGTAAGGTTATAGGGAGGGAGAACCTGTCCCCTGAGTGAAGAGTGCTTTAACTATGTGTATCTATCTGAGCTTCTGCTCAGGCTCAGCATGATTTGTGGCTTTGAGCCGTGAGGGAAAGCTGACTCCTCGCAGGGCCATGTGCAGAGGCACACGAGGAGCCTGCTGTGACAAGCCTCTCCTCCTGCTCAGCCAGGAGATGATCACAGGGAGAAATCACACAGCTCTGCACACAAACAGGCACTGACATCTGGGGAGTGTTGTTTGGGTACTTTGGGGCAGATTTTAGAAGAAGCCAGACTGGACTCCAAGACACTACAGCACCAGAGCACTCAGATAATGTTCAGACTGGGTGATAAAAAGGGGGTGAGGGTAAAAGCGCATTTATCCACTGAAAACTTTTCCCCAAAGACAAAACTCAGCGTTGTTTCCACAATACCCCTGGGGAGAAGCTCCTGAGACAACACAGATACACAGACAATGAAAAAATCATCACTTTTTAATGATTCTCGCAGTGTCCATCCCTCACCCCTGCTCCATGACAGAAGCTTTCCTTCACCCAGATTTGAGTCCTTCCAAGCTTTGTTAATTTTGTTTCCTTGCCTGACAATATACCATCTGTGTTATATATAGTGCCTCTTGCTTTCTTTGGGATTCATAAAGGAAAACCAACAAACTTTAAATTGCATTTATCACCAAGCATATTATCTTCAGATTGCTTCACCATTGCCTCAGTAGCATTTGGCAAAGATCAGTTGCACCATCTTTGGTGAGGGCAAGGCTAACACGAGCACATCAATCTTTTTTTTTGCCCTGTAGGTCTGTAAATACCAACTACTCCCAAGCAGCTGGTGAGAAAGGAGTTGCTGTGTTGAGTCAGAACCTGCAAGCCCAGGCATTCACCAGGAATGTTATAAATGTGTGCCATTTACTGAGTTATGTGTGTTTGTCTGAGGGTAGGGAGGGTACAGCTGGGACTGGGGCTGTTGGGCTAGCCCAGATTGTCTCTTTGGGAAGCAGGATGCAGAGAGATTTTGGCCAAGGCAACTGCAGCACACAAACCAATTGAGGATTCTGTGAGATCCAGAAAGAGCAGCAGCACCAAGAGCACCGAGTTTCACTGTTCATCTGGTCATTTCTTAAAACACATTTGTAACACCCCTTCCTACTTGAGATAATGAGTTTTTCCCCCAGTTAAGGAAACCAAGACACATGAGGATCTGGGAAATGATGACAGAGGGTGCCAGTCACAGTGCAGCCTGGGCCTGAGAGGATGCTGGGCTGAGTAATTTGTATATAAAGAAAAGAGAAAACATCATTTTGAGGGAAGTTTTGCACAAAGGGAAATGGTTTACAAGTAGTAGAAATAAATAATCCTTGTAAACCACTGGAGGTGATACAAATCAGATGGGATGAGAAGGTAATGGGGGAAAAAGTAGATTTTCCTATAAAGGCCCCAGAAACCATAACCCCCTCCCTGCCATCCTATCCAAGCCCTGTGGTTTACACAGACCTCTAGCTCAGGAAAAAATCAGTCAGTCAATCAATCAATCTCCTGGGTTTTGTCAGTCTACAATAAAGGCCGTATTTTTCCTACACTGAAGAAAAAAAGGTTTGTTTCAAAGCCTTGAAATAGGGACAAGTAATTCTAATCATAGGGAAAAGTAATTCTAATTACATAGGGACAAGTAATTCTAATCATATTCTGAATAAATTTTGTTTAAAAGAGAAGTTTGATCTGGGGAGAGTGTCAGGCAATGGAATGTGCAATGGACTGCTTCTGATGTCCTCCTGTCTGGCTTAGGAAAACCACATCCAACAGTTCATTGTTTAATGAAATGTCATCAGCCAGCCTCAAACAGATCAACTTCCTAAGGTAACAAAAAAGCCTGGGATACTCCTTCATCTCATGTCTTTCCTAAATTTGGAACAGCAGAACTGAAAACATACAGAAATGTGCTCCTTTTGCCCTTGAGAAAACCTGGCATTGCTGGGTCTGAAGGTAGGAACTACAGTGCCAGCCATGTTCACTCTGTATTTTGGGATCTCCCAGGCACAATTGCACCATCCCTGCTGTGCCCAGGAAAAATCCTGTCATCAATTCATCTGTAAAAACAGTCCCCTGGATGCTACCCAGACACAGAAAACACACCCTAAACTATTAGATAGCTTCAAGAACGTCTGAGATGCCTCTCCCAAGATATTTAAGGGTATCATTAGACAGACCTTTTAGAAATTAAAGGTGATGAAGTTGTAATGAATGAATTTTTTTTTTAAGTGAGGTTTAAATGAGTTTTAATGAGTTTTAATGTCACGGGTGAGGCACAGAATGAGTTGGGGAAGGAAAAACATCCCAGGACAGTCCAGTTGTCCTGGAGAAAGAATAAATACAAATGAACAGCAGAACATTCACTCCAAATTTTCTTACAACAAACGTTCTTTCTTACATCTTACCATGTGCTTCACACAGCAAAATGTTTTATTTCTGCTCTGTATTTCCTAAAGGAAAATCTTGGGAATTGCACCGAATCTCTTTGGGTGGAATGATGTAATTGGATGTAACACAAAGTATAATTGTTCCCATTGCTTTTACCTATGACTAAACTATTTAACCATGCCCATTACCTCTCCTGTGTTGATGATGAGCTCGCTGTGAAATGCAGATTTTAGAACAATTCCTGCCAACAACTTCTCAACCTTCACTATTTCTTTTTTTCCAGCCACAGAACTGTGTCAGACAGACCCAAAACACATTTTTATTAACCTGTGCTAGAAAAAACCCATCACATCCAAATCTGGGTGTGTACTGCCAGAGTTACAAAGGCATGACTGAAAGGTGGCACATGAATCAGATCACTGCATAGGAAACCCCTGCTTTCAGCAGACCAGTAAATAGGTCAGCAGCAGTAAACAGGTCAGGAATTCAGGATTTGAGGGAAAAATGAGATTATATAGCAAAGGAAGAAAGCTTACCCCCATGGAACAGACACTGCAAGAAACACAAGGTTCGGATTTTTCAGATTTCTCACTTGAAACAAACTTTGGCCAGGATATGGAGGCAATCTGGGCACAGTGATGCAGCTCCCCCAGCACATCCCAGCTGTCCAAAGAGGGAATAAAGCCACTGCCTTCAGGTCTCCTGGGACTGTTGGGACAATGATACCAAGCTCCACATGTACAGGCACCCAAGATAAAATCACATGAGAGTATGCAAAAATGAGGGCCAGAGCTGACCTCCAAGAGTATTAGAGTTCTTCAGAGTTTTTTTGTATCTGCAAAATCTCCAAATCTGGTGTGCCTTAAAAAAGTTCTTGACTCATATTAATGAATAACAGTATCACTTATCAGCAAAGTAACCTTCGGCAGTCACCACCTCTGGGAACTGCTTTTAATTCTTATCTGCTTCTTGTTTATTCAAAAGTATGTGCTACGTTTTAGCATCATCTCTGGAGTAGCCTCATATATTTCCTATGTGTTTCATACATACACACAAAACCTGTTCCCTGAGACAAGACATAAACCCCCAAATAGCTCCAATGTCCTTCCAAGAAGTTGTAGTAAGGTTCTGTCCAAGCCTCCTGTTTTTAAGGCTGAGCCCTACATCTACCTCAGCTGCTCATCGTCAAACATCTGCTCTGGATCCTACCCCAGCTCTGTTCCATTCTCTGAATGTGCATAAGCACCTCAATGTCTTTCTAACCTTGAGGGGCCCAAAACTGACTCTGGAATTCAAGGAGCCTCAGCAGTCTGAGCAGAGAGAGATGAGAGATGAGAACTGCTTCCTCCTGCTCCTCCAGTGCTGCTCCAGGCCAGCTGCCACTGGCGTTCTTGGCACATGGGCACATGCCTCATCACATTCTGCTGCTGTCAACCAGCACCCACAGATCCTATTCCACCCCACAGCTTTCCAAATGCAATTCCCCACACTCACAGCATGGCCTGAGATAGCTGGGAGAAGGGGATGAGTGCCTGACAGGGCAGGGGCAGACACCAGGCTAGTTATGTCCTGGGAGCAGAGAATGCTGATGGGACATGGAACACATCCTGGTCAGCAACACACTAAAGATATCACGCTTGGAAAAGGTACTGGTAGGACAAAGACTTGTGGGCTGAGACACTTTAATCAGCAAAACAAATCATAGCACATCATACACGTGATGAAAAGGCCACAGTGCCTCACACCAGCTGCCTGATGGGGCACCAGTCTGAGAGCAGCAGCAGCAGCAAGAAGTTCCACTTGTGCTGCTGAGCAGACATGCTGTCAGCTCTGGGATCCCCCTGCCCTCCGGGCCAGCTCCTGTCACACCTGTGGGCCCTGCCAGCAGCTGCTGCCCCCAGCCTGGGCCCTGGTGTCGGGGCTCAGAAGCAGGACAGGCCTCGGCACTCTCCGCTCGGCCATGGCTCTCACAGCACTCTGAGAACACCCACGTTGATTTGGTCACAAATACAAAACTCACTCCCCCAAAAACTAAATCCCATCCCCTCCACGCCAGCCACTACTGCCACACCATCACACAGCATGCTCCTGGGGGAGCCCACAGAGCGCTGCTGCCCACGTCACAGTGGCCCCAGTGACATCACCACTCCGGCCTAGGCCGTACAACCTGGCTGTGCGGCAACACAACCCTCAGATTTGAGGAGAGGATCACAGAGACACAGCTCGCTCCAGGCTGCTCAGGAGGCATGAGGTAAGTCCCACCCTTTTGGTGCCTCTGACGCAGCTCACACCCATCTCTCTCTGCTCATGGCTAGTGCACAAGTGCCAGGAGGAGGAACACCTGCACTGCTGCCCAAGGAACGCTCCAGGCGCTCACCATCAACTCGGAAAGGAACCAACACGGCACAGCCACAAAATGTCCCCGAGGAGAAAGGTGACAGCAAAAGTCTCCTTCCCCACAGCTCCCTGTCACTGCCACAGGGGGTGCCAGGGCAGGCAGACAGCTGGCAACGACAATGCCGGCACCAGCCGGCAGCTGCCCAACCGGCCTGGGCTCTGCCCACTTGCTGGGACACCCTGCCTCACCTGCCCTGCCCTTCAGCCAGCACGGCACACACCCAGCAGGGACCTGGGGCTGATCCTGCATGGACACTTGTCCAGCCCCACACACGGGCTTATGCTTGGGGCACTTGCTCTCTCTCCCCAGCGTGCATGCTGTGCCACCGGACCCAGGCGGACACCGACATCTGTGGGCACAAGAGAATGAACTTCAAGCTCTGTGTCCACACCTACTGCCAGGTGATTTCTCTTGGGGCTCCCTCCACCTTTCTGCCCAGCAGGGCACTAAGAAGCTCCTGACCTTCTCTGCTCCGCAGATCCTCGCTACTGGGCTCTACCCAAATGAGAACACCGGACGCTTTCTCGTTGGGGACACCAGGCGCATCATCAGAGAAGCAGCCAAGAAGGTGAGGGCGACCTGGCAGGAGCATGAGCTTTGCACCAGGACAGGCTTGCCACAGCTCCTCCTGCTCCCCAACACACACACAGACCAGCCACACGCAGCAGCCTCATGAACAGGCGGCTCTGGGGGCTCTGAGCCGGCACTGCCCACATCCCGCTCCTCGACTGGACATGCAGACCGGACACAAAGCTCAAGCCCTGACACTCACGGAGCTGCTGTGCTCTTTCCAGAGCTGTGTCATCTGTTACAAGATGGGGGCAAGCATCACCTGCTGCCACACAGGCTGTGACCGCACCTTCCACCTGCCCTGCGCCCCAGACGGTGGATGCGTCACCCAGTACTTCGGGGCCTACAGGTAAGGGCTGCCCGTCCTCGCCTCCAAGCCCCCGTCTTCATCGCCAAGCCCTTTCTATCCACACAGCACATCTAAAGGAGGAGCCCACGGGGACACTTGCCAGCAACCTGCCACAGATGAGGCCAGAACTCACACAGGGCTTGCTTGGGCTCCCTCACATCTCCTCCACCCACGCTGCCATCACAGGCAAACCACTCTGCACCTCCTGTCTTCCCTCACCCATCTCCTCCATCTCCCTCACAGGTCCTTCTGCTGGGAGCACCGCCCACAGCAGGCGCTGCAGCCACGACCAAGCCAGGACAGCACCTGCAGCATCTGCCTCGACACCGTGGAAGACAAAATTTCCTACACAACGATGGGATGTCCTGTGTGCCAAGACGCCCGCTTCCACCGGCACTGCATCCAGAGAATGGCTCTGCACGCTGGCATTGCCTTCCGATGCCCGCGTTGCCTCAACCAAGAGCCGTTCATGATCAATATGCTCATTGTGGGGATCCGGCTCTCCAAGAGGTTGGCTTTCCTCTCCTCCCAGCTCACAAGCCGTCACCCACAAGCCCACTGCCAGCCTAGCCACTGCCCCGCCAGGCTTGGCCACCTTCTGGCCCCGTGTCTCTTGCCCTCAGCTCCACCTAGGAGCTGGAAAAGGGACCAGCACAGGAGCAGAGACTGCCAGCATGTGCCTGACCCTGGCTCAGCTGGCCTCAACTCTTTCCCCTCCTTCTCCTGCAGCCCCCCATCATGGTACAGTGATCCAGACATCAGACCCTCACGTCAGAGGCACGGCCGCTGCGATGCCGCAACGTGCCTTTGTCCGGGAGGCAGGGAGCACGCGGAGGCAGACGGGTGAGCCACCAAAGTAACAATGCAGGCATTTCAACGGGACCTGTCTCCCCACAGCCTCACAGAGGAGGAACTAAGAACAAGGGCTCTGCCATAGGCATGGCCAGCCCTTGCTCTGCCACTTTGTCCTCACAACCAGCATTTCATTTGCTCCTCCAGACCCTGGCAACTCTGTCTGTGTGCCTCCTGCGCAGCCATGGGCACCTACCAACGCTGCTCATCTTTGGCAAACAGCACCCACTCCTCCAAGTCCACCGCCTCTGCTGGCCCCGACTCTGGTAGGCACCAAAGCATTCAATGCCATGCAACAGGTACACGGGCCAGGCTGGGGATGACAGCTGGGCCTTGGGCACGCGGCTTGGCTCCACAAGGCCTCTCGCTACCACACTGGCCTCTCCTGCTCGCAGCCTGGCTGTCCTGACCACCCTCCTGCTGCCCCTCTTTGCAGCCTCCACTGACAATCCAGACTTTGCCAGCCCCAGCACTTCCACACAGGCCCTCTCGGGGCTGGCTGAGGGCACTTTGGCGGCCAACACTCAACCTGCACGGCCAAAACGGCCATACAGGCCTCCATGGATCTTCCACGGATCCACCAAGGACAATCGCTCCCAGCCTGGGCCAATTCGGATGAGACACGTCTGGCGGCAACAACGGCGAGCAAAAACACCCTACAGCCGTCCGACAAACAACAACAGCAGGGCAAACTGACAGCCCACAGCCCTCCTCACCCCTACCCATGAAAAAACATAGATAGATAGATAGATAGATAGATAGATAGATAGATAGATAGATAGTTTAGACAGATTAGGTAGATCAGATAGATTAGATAAATTGGATCAAGAAAGAAGGAATAAAGTTTTTTACACTAACAGTTTTTTCAGAAATGCATTTTCCCTTCATTTTCCTCAACCATCCTCAGGGAGACTGTTAGCAGAAGGGACAGGGATCTCCTTCCCCACGGTTGGCAGCACCCTCCCCTCTGCCAGCTTGCCTTTCCAGACACCCAGCACCATGGCCGTGCCCTTCAGGCCTTGCTGGCCCCGAGGAGCTGCTGTCAGTGTCCCTTGCAGGCCAGCGCTCGGCTCCAGGGACGCGTTCACACGCCTGAGCTCGGCTGCACCCGCTGCCTCTGCCTTGTCAACAGCCCCCTGGCCAGGCTTGTACACCCTCCTCAGGGTAGCACCATTTCAAAACCCATCAATGGCACCAGCAGCAGCCACCCTTGACTGAAAAATGTCCCGGCTGGCAGTCCTGGGCCTGCTTTCCTCGGCACTCGTGGCTGGTAAATCGTCAATGCTGTGGCATTTTGATAGCAGGCTGCAGGAGGTCTGTGCTCCTTTGAGGAAACCCACTGCAATGCAGCTCAGCAGGTCCCACAGAGGACTCCATTCTGCACTGTGGGATTGGGGTCAGACACTGCCCTGCTCCTGCTGCCCACACTACTGCTGCTACAGGCCAGCCGCCACTGGCCTTCTTGGCCATCTAGGGACATGCTGGCTTATGGACCCTCACAATGGGAAAGCTCTGGCTGCTGTTCTCAGACCTAAGCTCTGAAAATAAGATCCACACAAAGATAAGTGATGGATTAGCATTTAAGAAACAAAGAAAAACATGTAAGGAAGTTAAAGCTGCTGGGGACTGATGGAGACTGGTTTCTGGCCAGTAACTGTCCATTTCTGAGAACCAACAGTTGTTTTGACCACTGGAAAGTGAGCTCAACCTGTGAACACCACCTTAAGACTTAAGCCCAGGAATTTCTTGTTCTCTTTGGTCTCTGTCTTTTGAAGAGGTAAGAGGGCTTTGGTTCAGCCTTCTCCCCCCACCAGGCCAGACAAGGCCATGAGGGGAGCGGGGCTGGCTGGAGCTCTGCGGGTCCCAGGGAGAATGGAGACTGGAAAGTGACAGGAACCCCTTCCTGGAGGGCTTGCTGAGCCTTGGACAGCAGGCCTGCCAGGCCAGGCCAGTCCCTGGCTCAGCTGCCTTTTCTGCCACTGCCGAGTTTCACCAGAGACTGCCAAGTAAAGAGAAGGAAAGCCATTGACCTGCGGCATGCTGAGACAGTGGCCACACTCTCCAGAACAGCCATGAAAAATCTTCCGTCACAGACAGCTCCAGCCGCCACTCCAGCAGAGATCACAGGACCATCTACAAAGCCTGGGCAGGATTTTAACTCTTTCACTACCCAGATGAGACTTGCAGATTAATCTTTTTTTTTTTTTTCCTAGAGAGAGGGGGAGAGATAGTGATCAACATATCATATCACATCATATCATATCATAGACAACATAAACTAGCAAAGACAGTGAAGAAAGGAATTAAGCTTCAGATGAAGAGAGAAATAAAGAGATGCTTTAATAAGCTGAAATATTCTTTTGCTGTAACTATGGAGATGGATAATAGTGTTCTAAAAAACTCCTTTAATTCATTGAAGAGTATTTTGGGGGGAATGGAGTATTTCAAAGTGTGGATCTAAACAAATAGTGAAGGAGTTGTGATCTTATGAGATGCTGGAACAGAAAAGGAGAAGTAATAGTTGTTGAAGATTTGTGGCCCTTCAGAGGCAAAGAGAAAACTTCTGTTTCCAGAGATGCTCACAGATAGAAATGAAGAAAACTTCTTCCTTTGAATAACTCATCTTTAAAATGACACCCCTGGACTTATGACCCATAACACACCTCAGCGTGGTGTGAAATGGGAGAACTGATGACAGAGTTTTCCAGGTGGCTGGCATCAGAAAAATAGAAAGCCATGAGAAAATGGTTTTCTTGTGAAAAACTCCATAGATTGGCAGAAGAGAACTTCTTTTATCTCTACAAAGACTGATGAAAGAACTATAGCAAAGTTAAGACTGTTTTAACCACCAGGCTTTTTGTCTCTATGTTGTCATGTGAACAAGAGGAACAAATAGTTTGAGTAGTGGGGAAAAAGGGTTTCTGGGGGTTTTATTCTGGTTTCTTATTCTTGTAGTTTTGTTAATAAACTTTATTTATTTCTTTTAAGTTTTACGCCTGTTTTGCTCGTCTTCTAATCCATATCTCACAGCAAGAAATGAGTAAGTTTCCTAGTGATTTTTTAGCTAATGCTTTAAAAACCACAACAAGACACAACATCAGTGGTGGAAACATTTCCACATCTGGCTTGTTTAGCCTTAATAAAGAATGAACGGACACATGCTACATCTTAAGGAGAGAATAGATTACTCTGAGGCCTGGGTGATTAGAGCAAGGAATCAAGGCATGGAAGGAATGAAGTGGGAGATGATAGCCCAGATCCCTTTGGCCAAAAGAATCACGTTTTTTTATGCTCCCTAGGTTTTGGAGAGAGCACTAGCCTGGAAAGAGCTCTATGACCTGCTGCCACTGCCAGCACTTTCTGTTTTTGCAAAGCTTCTTCGTCACTCTGTGCAACCTCAGTGAGCTGTGCTTTCTTTTACTGAACTATTCCAGATTCTCACATTCTCATTACTTTTCTTTACGTAAATATTGATCACATCTCAGGTTTCTCTGAAACTGCAAGACCACATTCTTCGAAGATCCAAACTTCAGCTCTGACAAGACAAGGGAGACCCTCAGGACTCTTTCAGGAGGTAGGCAAGGCAGGCACCAGTATGTCTCTAGAAGTGCTGTATTTCACCCCAAGCCTTTTTCCCCCTCTGTTCAGTAATTTTAACTTCATTTGTGAATTGAGATCTCATATGTCCCAGGCTCACCAAGGCATGTTATAGTCGCACAGGAAGAGCTGGCCCAGCCACAATGAGACAAGAAAAGTTGTGTATGGGTAAGGAGGTCCCAGACATCACCGAGGCTGTTAGCCATTTTTGTTTTGTTTGTTTTAATTTACTTGCTATTGGTTTAGCATGTGACCACCCACCAGCCTGCTGAAGAACAGCGTGGGCAGAGGACTAGATTAAACCAAAATGTTCCTTCTCAGACCCACGTTGTGTAAATTACAAAGTGGTGACTTTCAGCTCAAAAAAAAGCTACCCCCATCCATGTCTGAGCACCCGGAGCTCCCTGGTCTCCCACTCCACATGAGTGGTCTGAACACACAAGGAGCCCTTCCTGCCAGGGATGAAGCTCATCCAGGTTGCCTCACGACAAGCTGTACCTCACACCTGCGGACATCAATAGTGGTACCAATCCTCAGCCACGTTGTATGACCCCAGTTCATCTCCAGAGGACCACAAAGAGAAAGACCGTCCAAAATTAAATTCTTTCAACAGCTCCTTCACTGTAAAGAAGCAGCTGTGCTTGGAGAGGCCACTCTGTTGTCACCTGGTGTCTTTAGTGACACAGGTATGGTCTGCTCTGAACACAACAGCTGCACAGGAACACCCACCCCTCTTGGCTTTAACCTTGTTTTCATTTTTGTGCTTTTCAAGGTTAACTTCAGAGCTGGGAGCTCCAAGCCAAGCTCTTCAGCTGAGACTGTGCTGCATGCAAATACCAGTCCCTTTCTCACACTGCCTTTAGCCTTGATGTGAAGGAACTGCTCCTATTGATGAGAGGGAGGAATCAAGGACTGTATCAGCAAGGCCACGGCTGTGTTTGTACAGCACCACCTGGCATTTACTGCAGTCAAGACAATACAACATGCCACAATTTCATGGCTCTGGTCTATGCACACACAGAGCCTCCTCTAGAAACAGTCAGCCTGGTGCAAGGACACAAGTCCAGCAGTGTTTTCATACAACAGCCTCATTTTCCCTGTCCTTTTTGACTTTTCCCTTCTAATAGTCTTCTTTGTAGAAGTTTGCTTTCCTCTGCTTTCCTGCTTCCATCAGGGCAGTAATTAATGTTTCTGTTCTATTAACACATTATTCAGAAATGTTTTTGAAAGACCAAGCAATTCATATTTCATGATTTCTGATTGTTAAGGATAAAATATGAAAAACTATTAGCAATACTGGAAAACAGATGTCCTTGTCCCAACTCAGGTGCACGTAGGGAAGCATTCCTGGGCATCTCCCTCCATCGTCTTAAGATGATTTATGAAGGAAAATTACTTGAAAACTCCCACCACATCCGTGTGAGCCCAAGCTCCCTCAGCAAAGCCCTAACTGCCAAATACTTCACTGACCAGGCACTGACCATCTTGCCAGCAGGAGCCAGATGGAATGTACACCACTGTCATTCCTCCTAGGACAGCCAATTTGAGCCATGGTTTTATTCCTTACACAAAACTAGGCTCTAGCACAGCTCATCTGAGGCAGGGCAGCCTCAGTGTCTACTGGAAATACCTATGGTAGACAGGGAACTGAGTGTTTAGAGGGTAATTACTCCCCTTTCTCATTTCACAGCTCCTCCAAATGACTGTATTAGTTTGAGGATTAGGTTTCCCATGTGTCAGACCCAGGGAAGGTCTGGGAGTTCATCCAAGGTCCAGGCCTTTGTTTGGTTTGCGCATTATGCCAAGGGTCAATACTCTTGAGGGGCTTTCTCTGCAGCCTAAATCATAGCAAATTACTAGGATTTTATACAGGAATGAGTAGGAGTTGCTTTCTACCCATATTTGTTTGGACTAGAGCCCATAACAGCCTGGGGATTTTCCAGACAGCACAATCTCTGCTCGGATTTCCCCAAGCAAGCCCAAGCAGAAGGACAGAAAGCTTCAAGGGAAACAACTGCAGAGGATTGCTGATGGTCACCTCTTCTCTGCACCACAGCACATTCAGCATGCTGGGCTGCCTCAAAAATGCCATGAAAAGCACAACTTCAACTGGAAATTAACAACAAAGGAGCATTCCAACCCATGGCCTAAGCCAGCTGTTCTTCCTTGAGCCCTGAGCAACCTGACTGCAAGGGCCCCAATAACTCCCCCATGCTT